CAACGTAAAGTTACCCTGTAATTGCTGAACTTGAAAATACGCATGATGCCGTTCCCAATGACATATACTTGACTCTGTATTTTTAGTACTAAATTACCACACAGAATAGCTCAGTAAAGGGTGTACAAAGGCTACTGAGAGGGTAATTTATCTTCGAAGGGGTTTTGCTGCTTCATCATAAAAAGTTTCTAATTAGAGCATGTGTGTATGCCATAGAATAACCTCCTTTAAACGACAAAGTTATTAAGTTAAATTCTGACAAAATCAGCATTTCTCTACAAATAAATATGAATATTTTAAAAACTATTATTAGATGAGAATTTAAAACTATGGTGTGAGAAAAATGAAATCAAGGAAGTAACATTTATTGAGTACAGTTCCTTCCCCAAAGCACTGGATAGGCATTAAAAATATAAAAATGATGATGTAAAAATGCATAGATCCCACTTTAGAAGGAAGAAACTGGTATTCAGAGAATTTAAGCATATATCCAAATATCTTGCAGTTTATAAGTGGCATATCAACATTGGAACATGTGTCAACTTAATCATCTATTTTCTGTTAGAGAAATATTGAGTGCAAATCATATGCCGGGTATGTATTCAGAGCTGGTTGTTTGGTGATGCATAGAATAGAGGTTGTTTCAGTAATTCAGGGGTGTTGTGTCCTGGAAGTGGATATTGGCAGTAGTACTGAGAAGCAAAACATCAATTCCAGGGAATTTGTGAAGTAGAATTTGTATTTTTGAATTTCAAGGATGATAGAAAAGGAAAGAAACTGAAGGAAAAGAAAAAAATTGGAATGGGGATTTTTTTAATGTTTATCTTTAGGGATGAAACATAGCAGAGTAATCAGATAAAACCAGTGACCAATATCAGAAAAAAGTAGGTAGGAAGATTTCTCAACTGAAGGAAGAATGCCTAATAATAAAGATTATTTGAAAATGAAATTGGCAGCTTTGTGAAAATCCCTGTTGAAGGGACTTAATAAAGTATTGGATTACCGCTCATTCCTTTATTGTCAAAATTCAAGTATTCAGTAGCAGAAATGATCTTTCTGAGTTTATATTCTCTTTCAAGTTGGATTTCTTGGCTGTTATAGTAAAAAAATAATTTAAAAGTTTGGAGTCTGCCTGATTCTGAAAATCATGATTTAAATAAAACCTAGATAAGTAGGACAAGTGAAAAAAAAACAAATAAGAAACAAATATTAAAAAAGTCACTTTTTTGACTGCATGTTTGGTGATAGAAAGGTCAGATGATGGGTATAAAGTAAGAAGAAAGGGTTAGTTTGGATTAAATACCTGGAGATATAGAAGCCTACTTAAAGATGCATAGCTATAAATCAGTTTCTAGACCTCAACACTATTGACATTTTGGACCAGATGTCTCTTTGGTGCTGGGGGCTGTTCTGTGCCTTGCAGAATTAGCAGCATCCCTAGTTTCTATTACCACATGCCAGTAATATCCTTCTTTCCCCCACATTGTGATAATTGAAAGTGTGATTAGACACACCAAGTATGTCCAAGACAGCAAAAACACCTGCCATTAAGAACCACTGATGTGAATTTGCCAATAGCTCTGTTGTTTCTATTTTACTTTAGTATGAAAAGAAGATGAGAGCTAAAGTAGAGAGAGTAAAAAGGTAGGTTGGTTCTGAGAAGAACACAGTTCTTCTTCTTTTGGGGGAGCCACTTTATTTGTGCAGAAGCTTGATCCTGAGTGGAGAACGATGTGTGATCTATCTTTGCAACTTTCCAGTTCCCAAGACAACATCTTTCCTATGGCATGAGCTCAGTTAGTGTCTGTGATATTCAACTGCATTGTTCAAGGAATGCCCACCAAGCAAGGCAGCCAACAAAAATGTACAGGCACATATTATAATTTTAAAACTATACCTGGAGATGAGAAAAATCTAATGTAGAAAAATCATGGATTATTTGTAATGGAGTGAAAATTACATATATTTTAGTCAGAAGAGAGGAAGAAGGAAAATGGATTTGTGGTCTTATTCTTTGGATTAAATGTGATTTCAGAACTCCGGGAGTAGAATTTAGGAATACAGAGATATTGGAAACCTGGGAAGTGATATTGATTAGAGAGATCAGGCCACAGGGGGCCCTGACACTGTTTCTACATCCCTCTATATCTAAGTTTGCTTTAAAAATCACTTTTTGAGTTTATAAGTATTCTCTTAAATGAAAGTTCATAGTGTTTAAGTGTAAGTTTCTCCAATATGGTCATATAAATGGAAGTGCAAAAGGTATCAGTAGAGTAGGGATTTGCTCATTTAATTGATTTTAACAGGACTTTATTGCACAAAAAATGTTATTGGCAGCTGTGCACTCCATGGAAGAACCAGAGAGAGAGGGGGACAAGCCAGAGGAAGGCAAGCTGCTTTGTTCTGCATTGCACCTCATTTCTGCTAAGTTCTATATCTTTCCTAAAATATCAAGAACTTGGAGCACATGTCTATATGCTCACTTCCCACTAATCTAACCCACCTGGATTATTGCAAGGAATGTCAGTCATGATAAAAGTCTGAGGAATTCTGATAAATGATGGTGAACTCTCATCTTTATCTGTATGATTGATGTGAATAAATTTTGCAGTCCTTTAATGATAGAAACGCTAAGTTGGAGTTCATAGAAAACATATCTTCTCCATGAATTCTTTGTTTTTTAAATTCATTTTTAGTATACTAGGAGGATATTCCGTATCCTATAAGTAGAGAGCTAAGTTGCATTGCTCATGGAATTTTTTTTTTTTTTTTTTTTTTTTTTTGAGACAGAGTCTCACTCTCTTGCCTGGGGCGAGTGCCGTGGCGCCAGCCTAGCTCACAGCAACCTCAAACTCCTGGGCTCAAGCCATCCTCCTGCCTCAGCCTCCCAGGTAGCTGGGACTACAGGCATGCGCCACCATGCCCGGCTAATTTTTTTTTCTATTTTTAGTTGTTTGGCCGATTTCTTTCTATTTTTAGTAGAGATGGGGGTCTCGCTCTTGCTCAGGCTGGTCTCGAACTCCTGAGCTCAGAACGATCCGCCCGCCTCAGCCTCCCAGAGTGCTAGGATTACAGGCATGAGCCACCACGCCCGGCCTGCTCATGGAATTTTGCAGTTGAGGTAACAGATGGTAATGTATATATGGTTATGTATATATGAAACAGATACATAACAAGTCCAAGCACTAATTATAGGTATCCTCTTGCACAATGAATGACCATGGTTCCACTGGGACTATAAAGGTAAAATTTTTTTAAAAAATAGAGAAAATAGAGACAGAAGCTATATGTATTAGACATTTTTGGAATGTTGTAGAAATTTTAAGGTCAAAAACAAACAAAAAAACAAACACAATTTCCTGAATCCTGACTATGTTCTAAGCTTCAGTATAAAGAATTTTTGGTGTGGCATCAATATAACTTGCTACAGTCATGCCTCTCAGCAGTGGCTTCCATTGGGTCAATTCTTTGACCACCATTGACCTATAAATTTCTCTTATGTAAAATGTGGGCCAAAAACTAGCTCTACCTGGAATCTCTGATGAGGAATGTACAGTCTCTTTCCTCAAGAATATTTTAATTAGTAAGCAAGATAAAGTTCCAACAAAGCCTGACAAGTCTATTCCATTTGTCTGTGCATAGGAGCAAACAGGAGAGATCACTTAATCCAGACAGCAGAAGTGAAGAAAGGCATACTGTAGGAAGTGATTTCAGCTCTGAGTTTTGATGTATAAATAGGAGACTTTTTAGTTGAGACTTGAGGCTGAGAAAAAAAAGTATTAATGGCAGAAGAAATGATACTCATTTTCCTCTTTTCTACGTTGAAAAGGTATGTGATAGAGTTATTGGGAAGAAAGAGACCACATTGTATTTCAGAATCACAATGACATTTTTTTGTAGAAGACAGAGAACTGGTAATAATGGGTAATTTTGAGAACTTTGAATGAATAGAGTGAAATATACATATATAAAGGGGATAGCACTCATTTTTGTGCTACTTTGTGTCACGAAAGTATTAGGAGCGGAGGCTGAAGGTGGTCTTTGACTGGTAGCATTCTCAAATCATCCACTCTCCTTTAGTTTCTGAACTAAATGTGCAAGGAACAGTAGTGAAAGGAGAAAGAAAAAATGATTTCTTAAATTCTAGGAATCTGCCTACACCTCATCATGCGAAACTCTGATAAAATGTGCATTGGAGAAAAGAACTTAGCTTCTGGTCTAAGTGAGGTTTTTTGCTTCCTCATCCAAATAAAGCTGGTTACATTTTAAAATTCTCCTCGATGACAATTATGTACATAACTACAAAAAATGGGAGAGGAAAAAAAGGGCTGCTCTGTTTTTCCAGGCCCTGAGTTTGCCTATTACATGGAAGGAAAGAGGAAATATAAGGAAAAGCATTTGCAGACAGCACACAGTCTGGCTTTGGATTACCAGATGTGGATCTGTTTTTTGGGATATGAGGGAGGCTGGACAAGGGCAAGGTGTGGAAGTGCAGAGTGGGTGGGAGAAAGAAGCCTGGCTAGAAGTCTTGCTGTAACTTAAGCCAGGAGACAAGAGTATTTCCTTCCCTATGGATAGAGGTAGATATTTTAGGAAAGAGGAGAGAGAAAAAAGGGCAAAATTTTCTTAGATTTCCCCAAAACCTTGTTATATAAGATATATACTTCGTAATAGGAGGTTTTAAAAATGGGTATCAGTCTTACTCCCAGGCACATGATTTCATGGAGACAATTCTTTTCTTTGGCGAAGCACATTAAAACGATGCTCTTTAAATAAAACCGGAGTCTTCAAAATAATTGGCTCATGTTAAGCACACAATTATTGATTGTCAACAGTGACTGGCACATGATAGTTGTTTAAATATCTGTTGGCTAAGTCATGGAATAAATGGCATATTCTGGCAATTACTGATGGTATATAAAGGTCCCAGGGAAGGAGAAGGCATCTACACTTCAGAAACATCCTCTTGCAAACTGCCTGAATTCTCTCCTCTTGACAACATGTGTTGCAACTACTACGGCAACTCCTGTGGCTATGGCTGTGGCTATGGCTCTGGCTATGGCTGTGGATATGGCTCCCTTTATGGCTGTGGTTATGGAACTGGATATGGCTGTGGCTACGGCTGTGGATATGGCTCTGGCTATGGCTGTGGATACGGCTCCCTTTATGGCTGTGGTTATGGAACTGGATATGGCTGTGGCTACGGCTGTGGATACGGCTCTGGCTATGGCTGTGGATATGGCTCTGGCTATGGCTGTGGCTACGGCTCCTCTTCTGGCTACTGTGGCTACCGGCCATTTTGCTTTAGAAGATGTTATTCTTGCTGCTAAAACATCACTCTCAGAGGACCATTTGCTTCTGAAATGATACTTCTAAAGATAATACTGATTTGAGGATCCATATCCCAAGATTTCTGTATCCAACAAGTTACATGCTTGACAGAGTCTTGGAGCTCCAGCTATCCATATCTTAGAATGGAATCTTTGTGGCCCTAGGATCCATGGTATCATCTCACTATCTTTCCAAATGTTAGTCTTGACTCCCTTAATCTCTGATTCTCTGTTATGACTGTGTTAATGACCATAACATCTACAATTAGGGAAGTTACTTATTTTCAATAAAAGTGGTTCTTTGTTTCTAACAAATATTTGTGTACTTGCTTGTGAATTACTCCGTTTTTGAGGTGTTTTGGCCTCTCCAGAAAATTGGGCTAGCTACTTCCTTGCTCTAATACAAGTATTTCTTTCTATGCTTGCATCATAAATAATGTCTTCTTTAATCCCTCTCATATCCCACATGCTCACACCTTCACACATTCAAGCACAAATCACAGAATATTTCAGAACTGTGCTTTGGAGATGGCACTGAGTCTAGAATGGAGCTGGAGGGGAAAAGAGAGGAGGAGTAACACCTGTTCAGGAGGTTATGACAAAAGTCCCAGGGAGAGAAGATATAGCCTGAGTGCTTAAAGAGGTAATGGAATGGAAGAGATCATTTCAAGGGTTATTAAAAAATTAGAGTCACACTCAGATGTTAGACATGAAGAAGAAAAAACTAAGGAAAGGATAAATTAGATGAAAAAATATATTATCACATCATCTGCATTTGAAGGCAGTGCAAATGTATTTGTTTGCCTATATGGAGGTTGAGGAAAGTGATTTAATGTTTTTGAATTAAGCACCATGCTAGAAACTGAAGACACAGTAGAAAAATTATAGACAAGTTTCCTGCTCTCAGAGTGTTTACATTCTAATAGATGAAGATTAAAAAATGAGTAAAAACTGATTATAAATTCAGAAATAATTACTACAGAGGGACTGAAACAACTGAATGGGGAGGAGAAGAAGGATTGAGGTATTAGAGAGGTAGCTCAGGGAGGTATTTTAAGTGTTGACATTTCAGCTGATAATAAAAGTTGTCAGTATCAAAGAAAGACTAGGAAGGACTGTGCCAAGTGCAAAATGGGAGGAGAAGTTCATTAAGTTTTGGGTATGATTATTTTGGTGCCACATTTTTCAGTTGGAAATGAGCAAGGTCCCGTATTTTAATGGAGTTCTCTTTGGATTGGGGTGGATATGAAAATGGGATAAAAAGTCTAGTCTAGCTGCCTGGCTGATTTTCTAAAGCAGAGTATCTGCTGCTTTTTGGGTTCTGATGTTAGTCTCTTTTCCTCATCGGAGTATCCAGAATTCTGTTGTTTAAATCCTACAACAGAAAAATCCTTTCAGATTCAGTAGCATTTGTTTTTCAACCAGCAATAATACCTGTGTCACTGTCTCATCCCCAGTACAGAGATCATTACACAAGTGTGACTCTCTGAGGTTCCTGAAGCTAGGAGACCCACAAAATGGCCAACTCCAAGGAAGATACTCTACAGTTAAAGTCAGCCCTGGAGTGAGGCTATGTCCAGGATAGAATTTGTCCATCTGACAGAGAATCAGGGTTTCTTTCATGAACAGGATGGTTTTCACATCTGCAACATTTGTAAGTCAGATCTGAGGACTGACTGTATTCTGTGTGACTCTGAAGTTAGTATTACAAACAGTGGAGGGGAATTCTAATAATTACAGCTCTTTGAAATATTACTTTTTGTTTCATTATTTTTTTGTCATTAAATGCATTGTGAAACAAGGAAGGATATCATTTATTAAGCACGTATAAAATAACTTATATATCCCAGAAAGGTTCTTCACAAACTAACACTTAACATATCTTTGAAATCTGAAATGTTGTGACTCTCTTAGTCAAAGAAAATTTTGAGACTTTTAGGTTGGGTGAAATGAAAAAATGGTGATAATGTTAACAGAGACAGGGGTGATACAATTAGAGAAGGTTTATGTATGTATATATGTGTGTGTGTGTGTGTGTGTGTGTGTATGTGCATGTGTAGTATGAGTCTAATGGAGGGTAGATAAAATGAATATTTGCCTTAATATATTAATCATATTATGGAGGAAAGGGAAGATCTTTAGGCAGTACTTTCTGTAGTCAGGAAATGATTTAAATTTCAAAGGTCCTTTATAAAGAAACATAAAATCCATTTCTTTGATGAGTTATTTCATACTGTAGAAGTTATAAATTATAAAATCAGTTATTT